GTGGTGGTGATGGTGGTGATGGAGGTGATGGTGGTGGCGGTGGTGGTGGTGATGGTGGTGGTGGTGGTGGTGGTGATGGTAAAGGAGGTGTTGATATGGAGGTGATGGTAGAGGTAGTGGAGGTGATGAGGATGAAGATGGCAGCAGCAGTACTAGAGTACCTATTGTAGCTATTTTAAATACTTTGAATGGATTAGCTGACTTAATCTTTTCAATAGCCCTATTTTGGCAGATAGTATTATTATCCCCACTTTACAGGTGGGCAAATTGAGACATATAAAGAAGTTAATTTCTTTGCTCAAGAGCATACAGGTAGTAAGAAGTGGACAATTCTAACCCAGGTCAGATCCCAAGATTCCCTTGGAGTTGGATGTAAGATCACGTGTGTGGGTGTGGTCATTTTTCTGCAGAGAGAACCCTTAGTTTGCTGTGGGCACAGAGGGCAGATCTGTGTGGATGCCCTACCCCCATGCCAGCCATCCTGTGAGCATTAGCAGCCCAGTGCCAGGTCTCCTCACTTAATGGGCACTTGCTATAGGTGGGAATCCCTCAAGAAAACTTAAAACTGGGGTGCAAGCAGTCCCTCTGTACCACCCCTCATACTCTGTGTCTCTTCTCACAGGCCCGGCTCCCACCTGTGCGAGAGGTTCTTCCCAAGCCTGATTGTGGCTGGGTGTGGGGAGCCCCCTTGTCTTCCCTCCGCCAGGAATCAGATGGACCTATACCCCTCTTCCTCAAGGCCTAATCCCATTCACCAGGGCTCCACCCACATGACCTAATCACCTCCCAAAGGTCCTAATTCCTAATACTATAACCTTGGGGATTATTTTTGAGCGATGAATTTTGCAGGAACACATATGTTCAGACCGTAGCATAGTGGTGGTTGTGATAATGGTGACTTTATGCATGTTGAAGTCATGTGGAATCATATAATGACTTTAACCTGAGGGAAGATTCTGATCCTTTTTTTTTTTTTTGAAGTAAATTAAAAAAAATATTTTTTTATTAACTCAAACACATAGATCATGTATACATTAATGCATTTATGGGGTACCATGTGCTGATTTCATATAGAATTAGGAACGCACTGGATAATATATACCTCATTGATTGTGATTTTTAGTCTGGATGCTCTTTTTTTTTAGAGACAGAGTCTCACTTTATCACCCTTGGTAGAGTACCATAGTGTCACAGCTCACAGCAACCTCCAACTCAGCCTCAGCCTCCCAAGTAGCTGGGACTACAGGCACCAGCTCAGCCTCAGCCTCCCGAGTAGCTGGGACTACAGGCACCAACTCAGCCTCAGCCTCCCGAGTAGCTGGGACTACAGGCACCCACCACAACTCCTGATCATTGTTCATTGCAGTTTTGCCGGGGCCGGGTTCGAACCCACCACCCTCAGTGTATGGGGCTGGTGCCCTACCCACTGAGCCACAGGTACCACCCAGTCTGGATGCTCTTGTTGCAAATGACTGAAAAGCCCAATACAAGTGGCTCAATATTGGCACATACAACAGAGAAGTACCAGGCATGGTGGATGTCTGGTTTGGTTTGATCCTGCTGTCTCCTCTTGGGTCAGTTTAATAGCTACTGCTAGCTCCCAAGGTGGGAGGCTCATGGTTTATACACAGAGATGACAGTACCATCTTTTCTCATCATTTAAAGCAGGAGTCCTCAAACATTTTAAACAGGGGGCCAGTTCACTGTCCCTCAGACCATTGGAGGGCTGGACTGCGGGCCCCGGGATGAGTCAGCTGCTAAGCAGGACAGGCAGCGGCAGCAAAAACACCCGGCGAGCTGGATAAATGTCCTAGGCGGGCTGAATGTGGCTCGTGGGCCGTAGTTTGAGGACGTCTGATTAAAAGTGTCTGATTTCCTCAATATCAGGTAATAAAAAGGAGTCTCAGTTTCCCTCCATTGGAAGAGTCTAAATCACATGTTCATCATCAAACCAGTGACGAGTCTAGGTCTGGGTGGGGTGACAGGCTGGGGTTATGTTAAAGGCCTGGGTCCACCAGGCCCTGCCCTTACATCTGGGGGTGGGCCCGGTCCTACCTGTACTCCCTGGCTGGGCACCTCAGGGGGAAGCTGGGAATGAGCCTCAGTCACCTGGAATCTCCTCTCCATTAGGGCTCCACACCCCACCTGAGGCAGGTGCCTGAGGGGTGAGAGTGGGGGTGGGTGGTGGAGAATGGTCTTTGTGAATCTCCTTAGAAGGCTTGGAGCAAGAAAGGTCTTTGGAAGAAGCTGGTATATATTTTAGCATTTTTTGTTATATAAATAATATTTGTTAATGGTTGAAAAATAGAAGGTACAGGTTAGCAGGAAGAGACTTTCCTGGTGACCCACAGCCTGCCAGCTCGTCTACAGAGCCCCTGCTCCATGGATTTGGGTTTCGAGATAGTGGGCAGGTTCTGACAGCCACCTGAGCCCATGACCCCAAACTCTCTCTGGGTCCTCTCACCCCTGCTCTTCTCCCACAGGCAGCCCTGGTTTTACGGCTGGGGCTTTAACCTTCCACGAGGCCAAGCCCTGCTGGAGAAGTGGAACCTCATTCCCGAAGGCGTGGACATCCTGATAACCCACGGACCACCCCTGGGTAAGTCTCGCATGCCAGGGGGTGCTTGGGGCAGGAGCTGGCTGGGCCTGTGCTCTCGTTAGCCTGGCCTATCCAGAAGAGTCCGCATGGGCTCTGCTGTAAGTCCAACTTGCTGGGCACTGGGAACATGTCATCCCATTGTTACCCCTTATTTCCTGAGCACCTACTGTGTGCTGGAGCTTGACATGTCACCCCTGGACTCCTCCTGGCAGCATGGGAGGTCAGGGCATCAGCCCTCCCAGACACAGATCATGGCTGTCAGGCCTTTGATGCTACAGAGCCCAGTTTTGGCTGCTGGACACCACCACGACCCTGGGGCATCATCCAGACAGCCCTCCCCCACCAGAATCCTGAGACCCACTCCCTTCACCTTGTTCCTGAAGTCTCCAGGGCCCGTGGATCCACCTCCCACCATCACTCCTCTTGCCCCCACCTGCCACCCTGGTCCAAGCAGGGAGCGTCCCTCCCCTGTAGATCACTCCCTGCTCTTGTCCACCGCCTCATCTGAGAGTTCTCTCCACTGTCCCCTCCCCTTTCCTTACCTCCCACAGCCTCTCCGTCTGCATGGTTCTTCCTCCAAACTTTTTCCCAGCTCCTTTCCTTCTCTCCATCCCTGCCAGCCCTGCCTCAGTCCATGACCACCTCTGTGGCCTCTTCACTGGCCCCTCAGCCCAGAGCTTGCCCCTTCTCTGATCCTCATGTATACCATGCTATCCATCTATTACCCTCAATGACTCCCTCAGGCCTTACAACAAAGTTCAAACTCAAGGCTCTCAGACCTAGACCAGCCTTTTGCTCCCACCACTTCCTCCATGATCCTGCCATCACTCCCTTGGTGCTTGGAGCTAGTCCCTCTGTGGGTGACACTGGACCAGGGGTTAACCCCATGGTGTACTAGCCTAGAGGAGCTCACAGGCTGCAGATGGGAGGGTTAAGGAATGGCCAAGCCCAGTGGTACCCATGCAGTAGTGAGGGAAGCTTGGCAAGTCAGAGAGAGAGGCAGCTGCTGTCAGAGGAGGGCTGGGGGTCTGCAGAAGAGAGGGCATGTGTGTGGGGTCTGGGAGAAGCCACGGGCAAGATGGCTATGGGGGGGCCAACATCTGCCAGGACAAAGCTCCAGACACTGGGGGCCACCCACCTAGCCAGTGCCTTTGGTGGCCCCCCACCCCAAAGTCCAGGAAAGGAAGGTTTGTTAGCCCCTCTGGCCAATGGAGGGAGCCCAAGGCCCAGGCAGCACAGCGAGATTGTGGCCAGGTTAGTGTTGCCTCACAAAGCGTCCTGACCACTGGGACAAGTTCCCGTCAACATCTGGCACCCTCAGTCACTTGGAGTGGGCTCAGTGGCCCAGACCCTTTCGTGTCCCCCCTTCCCTTTCCTCCCCTTCCACACCCTCTCCCCGCCCTTTTGGTCTTGCTTCCTTGGTTCCCTGCTTTCCTCCCTCCTTCCTCCCTTCCCAACCCCTCCTTCCTCCCCTCCCTCCACCCCTCCCTCCACACACAGTGTCTTTTTGCTCTGGACGCCCCAGCCTGGCCACTCCTTACAGAAGCCCAGCTCCGATCTCGAGGCACAGCCAGTCTGCCAGGCGTCCCAGCTGGCGCTGCCCCTGCATCATCTCCATCTTCCTGTGTGCCAGGAAGTCCCGGAGCTGGACGCCCCTCCCCACCAACACACACTGGGGATTGGGAAGGGGCCCAGCCCCAGGCATGGGGGATCCCAGTGCCCAGCCCAGCACCTCTAACTGTTGAATGAACCTGAGGCACAGAGAGGTTTAGTGACTTGTCCAAGGTCACATAGCCAGCAGGCAGCAGAGCCTGGGATTTAAACTGGGGTTTGTGCCAAGCCTGCACCCCACCTACCCCTCCCCTCTTCTCTGCTTCCCCAACTCCCTTCTCTCCGTCTGTCCGTCTGTTATCTTTAAGGCTGTTGCAGCTTTCTGGGCTTCCCAGTCCCTTCTTGGCAGTTGCAGAAGCCTGTTTCGTATCCCCACCCCCAGAGAGGGGCTGGGATGCACCCTGACTGTCCACTGGATGTAGTCAGTTACTCTGTGTGTGATGTCCTGTGAGGATTGGCAGCCACCCAATGGCTCCTTGAGGCTGGGGGTGGGGATGTGGGGCAGACACATTCACAGCCACCTGAGCAGTCTTGTGTGGACACAGGAGTTCATGCTCACGATTTTGTGGTGTGTGTTTGGAAAGTTTTGGACATGGAAATCTCACTCCTGGGCTGGGTGTTGGGAAGACCTGATCTGCCACCTGCCACTGGGGTGCCCTCGGCCCTTGGTTTGCTTATCTCTGTAATGGGTGGATGTTGCTCTAGGGACCACTTGAGAACGAATGGTCTGGGGGCACCAGCACTAACTAAGCACGCCACCAGAATCCCTGGCCAGGCTCCTTCCTGCAGGGAGGGTCCCAGCGTAGCCCTGCAGAGGTGGAGGGGAGGCCCAGGGCCCAGGCAGGATGTGGCAGTCAGGTTTCTTCCTTGAGGGTGGAGGCAGGGCAAGGACAGCCTGCTGGGGGCAGGGGTTGTGCCAGGATCCTGTGTCTCTCCGAGGCTGCAGATGCTGCCACCTGCCACCTGCGCCCTGCGCTGTGAGGGGCTAGGGGCCAGGGGCCAGGGGCCGGGGGCTGGGGGCTGGGCTTCTGGGCCCTATCATTGCCCCTCTGCGTCTCCCCTGCACAGGCTTCTTGGACTGGGTCCCCAAGAAGATGCAGCGGGTGGGCTGCGTGGAGCTGCTCAACACGGTTCAGCGGCGGGTCCAGCCGCGGCTGCATGTCTTCGGCCACATCCATGAAGGTCAGTGGGGGTGGGATGAGGGGCTGAGGGCTCCTGACTGACCCTGCAGGGGGCCACATCCCCTCTCTTTGTCCTTGGCCACCTCCTCTCTGATCTCTGGCTCTCAGCCATTGCCGAAATGCTTAGTAATAGGAAGATGACTGTCAAGTCAAGGAAGTAATGTGAGACTCAGGGTACATTTTGCGTCCTTGGAGCCCTGCACCTCTGCCGAGCCTCTAGTCTGGGACTTCTTCCAGAGAGAGGCAGGGGTTTTCAGAGGATGGGACATTTGGATCAGGTTGTGGAAGGTCCATTGTATTTGGTAGGCACACTCTGAATTCTTTGAGGCTGACGGCCCGATCGTGTTGCTCAGGGCCTGCATACAGTAGCTGTTAATGAATGTGGAGGGACAGTCTGCCTGCCTGAGAGGTTCTGGGGCACAGAGAATCCCCTTCACCACACGTGTTCTGGCTTCTGTCTGGGGGAGCTGGATGGGTTGGTGGTGAAGGGGACGTCCACTTCTTGAGGGCAGTGCAGGGTGGCTGTGAGGGACAGTGTGACGTCACGGCCAGTTCTGACTGCCTACACTGCTGCAGGCTGGCCTATTGCTGCATGGGGCATTCCCTGTCAGACCTCAGGCACCCCTCACCGGAGCCTGATTTTTCACCAGTGTGGCACACAGCCCTCTTTTTGCCCCGTTTTGAACATTTATCTCACCTACCCAAGTTCTCCCTGTCACATCTCTACAGGAAGCATATTGGCTGCCATGGGGCGTGGAGACCAACATAGTTCCTTCCCAAGCCATCTCCTAGTGTCCTGAACCTCTGTTTGTGGTCAGGCCAGGGCCCCTAAGCTAACACCTGTTCCTGGTCCCCATCATATCATTTTCCAGCTCAGAAGCACACAAGCCTCAAACAATTCCCCGAGAGCCTCTGCAGCTCAGCATCAAGGGGCAGGAGTGATGAGGCCTCACCTGCCCCTGGAGGAGCCACAGGCTTATGGAACAGATGAGTGATCAATCCTGGGACAGTCAGGGCAGTGATGGGAGACACGGGCAGCTTGCATGATGTGGGCTGATAATAATGGCTGCCATTTTCTGTGGCCCTACTATAGGCATGTGGTTCCATACCTCAGCACAATGATATAGGCAACCTCCCTCCCACACAGGGAAGGGGAAATGTACCTTTTAATTTGGAAGTGATCTGAGCTGAAGGATGAGGTGGTGGGAAGAGGGTACAATGGAGGCAGAGAAGAATGCACACGGCGATGATGGCAATGCTGGTGGTGAGGACGGTGATGTCAGTGATGAGAGTGATGATTACATACTGATGACGATGGTGGTGATATAATAATGAGGGTGATGGTGACAGTGGTATTGGTGGTGGTGATGATGATAGTGTCGTCATGATGACAGTGATGATGTCGATCATCATCACATCACCATTACCATGGTGGTGGTGATAATGGTGATGATGGTGTAGGGACCAAGGCTCTTGGCCTCCAAAGTTTCCCTAAAAACTTGCTGACATGAGGTGGATTGATTATTAGGAGAAAAGGCATAAGATTTTATTTTACCTGTATACATGGAGGCTTCAGAAAGAAAACACAAAGATACAGGAGAAATTGTCCATTTTTATGCTTAGGTTCATCAAAATCTGGATAGTGGTATAGAAATATGTTTGGACAAAAAATGTAGGATTTGACGCTGATAGACTGAGTGAGGAAACCCAGCTGGGCTGTCTGTCTGGGTTCTCGGTGCAGCTTTCCCCCCTCCTCAGTGTGGGGCCAGACCCTCTCTGAGATGGGGGTCTAATGGCGCAGTCAGACGATGGGGGGGTCAGATAATGTCACCAGTTTTGACATAGAATAATTGTAGGTTTTATGGCTGTCTTTCAGGAAAAGGGGCTCTGATTTCACTGGCCTGCCTTGGGAAAGAGGGATTCTGCTTTCTATGGCTAGCCTAAGGGAGGATTGGGACTGAGAGACAGGGGACAGAAGGTCAGAGAAAAACTGCTTTTGAGGCTGTTTGCAAGGTATTCATTTTGGGTTACTGCTTGCTGAGCCCCACCAATGTGGATGATTTGATAATGGTGGTGGTGGTGGTGATAGTGATGCTAATGGTGGTGATGGTAGTGATGGAGGTGGAGGTGGTGATGGTGATGATGGTGGTGATGGTGGTGGTGATGGTGATGATGGTGATGATGATGGTGGTGGTGATGGTGAGAAGGATGGTGATGATGGTGGTGATGGTGGAGATGGTGATGGTGGAGGTGGTGATGGTGGTGATGATGGTAACAGTGATGATGGTGGTGATGATGGTGATGATGGTGATAGTGATGATGGTGATGATGGTGGTGATGGTGATGGAGGTGATGATGGTGGTGGTGGTGATGGTGAGAAGGATGGTGATGATGGTGGTGATGGTGATGGTGGTGGAGATGGTGGTGGTGGAGGTGGTGATGGTGATGGAGGTGGTGATGATGGTGGTGGTGATGGTGAGAAGGATGGTGATGATGGTGGTGATGGTGGAGATGGTGATGGTGGAGGTGGTGATGGTGATGGTGCTGATGGTGATGATGATGGTGGAGATGGTGGTGGTGATGGTGAGAAGGATGGTGATGAAGATGATGATGATATTCGCCGTGTGCTCATGTGCCAGGCACTGAGCACTGTACATGGAGGATCATCTCATTTAATCCTCTCAGTAGGCTTGGAAGCAGCATCTATGACTATCAACTCCATTTTATAGATGACAGGATGGACCTTGAGAGTTTTAGTAGCTTGTCCACACATGGTCAGCCCACTGCGCCTCTGCCCACCCTACTGCCAGACCCTCACTGCTCTGGGTCCTGACCTGACAGGCATGTGCTTACTTTCCAGGGTATGGTGTCATGGCAGATGGGACCACCACCTATGTGAATGCATCTGTGTGCACTGTGAACTACCAGCCTGTGAATCCACCCATAGTCATCGACCTCCCCACACCCCGGAACTCCTGACTGCTCCCTGCTGCCATAGCCCTGCCCGCCCGTGTCAGCTACATATGCTTGGCTGAGAGCACAGACCCCCAGCCACCCTCCCTACCATGCTGAGTGACCCAGACAATCTGTCTGGCTGCAGGGACTAGCCCAGCAGACTTGCTGAGGCATTGGAATGACCCTTCAGCCTTCCATCACCTGGAATCGGGACCCTGTGTGTCCCCATTTTTCTACGTGTACGTCTGTGTGTACCTCGTTAAAGGACCTGGTATTTCATGGCCCTGTCTTGCTTGGGACATGACTGAATCTTTATCCTCCTCAGCTGGACTCCCTCCTGGTTTGTGAGGCTGCTGCTCTTGAATGGTTCTTGGAAGTTCTCCCTCTGCCCAAGGGTCTGTGTGGCTGCAGGCCCCAGGGCAGGGCTAGGGGAGGTTTTGCAGCCTGGGTGCAGACGGCCCTTCTTGTCCTCCCAGGCCAGAGAGGAGACAGGACTGCTGGCGGTGGGGGCCCTCTGAGGGGTGTTTAGGGACATCTCAGGAATTCAGACCGTACCTGGCTGGGCCTACAGCAGTTTGCCTGGCGTTGTTCTCCCTGTTTCTTCCTGTGGGCATTTTCCCTGACTTGGACGTGGCCTGAGCAGCCTGGGCATTCACTCTCAGCCTGCATTTGGGGGACTGGATCTACAGAATGAGCCTTTGGAGTGCCCGGGCCAGCAAGAGGCTTCCAGTCACAGTGGGACAACCCTGGGTCCCTGGGGACTGTGCTGTTCTATAGAACTCAGCAGCCTGGTGTGTCTGCAGGCTGAGGCTATAGCAGTCCTGTCACACGCACACCCCTCTTAATTTAATGAAGTGGGTCCCGTGTTTCTCATCACTGCCCTGCACTGGGGTTATGCTTCTCGGTGCGATTTCCTTGCACCACGAGGACTGTCTGCCCACAGCTAAGGGGGCCTGAAGGGCTCAAAATCCTCATTGTCCCAGTACCAGCCAGTCCATTGGCAGGAGGGCGGCACCATGACAGAGTGTGCCTCGGGTTCCAGCGGCCCCACCAAGGGCACCTAGGGCTGGGGGTGGGGCAGGGCTGGCTGAGTCTCTGAGGGCAGGAGCCAGGAGGGCCTGGACTGCAGAGGCCAAGAGGCAGGGTCTGGCAAGTGCAGGGTCAGATTCTGTCTTTATTTAACATTTTGATATTTTTTCATCATGGGTATTTTTTTGCATTCATTTTGATTTTTTTAAAAATTGAGTGAGTCTGTGAAAACATTTTGATTTTTAACAACATTACATTAAAAAAGTATTTGTCCTGGTTACTGAATTTTTACACTCCCTTTAAATGGCGCTCCAGAGAATAGGGCTCATGCCCTCCGCTGGCCCTGGCCCTGGGAAGCAGCCCTCGCTGAGCCCTTTTACAGACATAATCTTATTTCATTCTCAGATGGTCCTTCAAGGTAGGTACCACTGTGCCGATTTTCGAGATGAGGCAAGATGACTTGCCTGGGGACACACAGCACAAAAGGGGCAGAGGTGGGATTTGAACCTTTGTCTCTGGCTTCACAGCCCTCACTTTGTCATGACCCCAAAATTGTCCCTACAAAGCAAAGCATGGCCCAAGTCTTTTTTTTGAGGGTCCTGTTTAAAATTGGTCTGAGCTCTGAGGACTCCTGAAGCCGGAGTGCAGTGTCCCAGCATCCTGGGCGGCTGAGGCTCCTGCCAGGCTCAGGAGTGCGCCCGGCTCAGTGTGGGCAGAGCCTGTGGGCAGGGTGCCATGTTGGGTTGGCAGTGGCTAGGCTCCACACGGTGCAGGGCTTCAGGAATCCCCCTTTGCCCAAGTGGCTCCTGGTAGCCAGGGATGCTTGGGAGCCTCTCGGGGTGCCTCAGGCTTGTGATGAGTTTGGGGCAGAGAGAACAAAAGGCCCTTTCTCTGCCACCTCTTCTCAGTTTCTCTGTGGACCAAGAACTATAAACTTAAAAAAAAAAACTTTTTTCCTAAGGTATCTTCAGAATATGGTGTATTTTTATGTGGAAAAGAAAAGTTATGAAGGCAGCTGTTACTTTAAGAGAAAATTCATTAAAAGTCCGTGAGGTATGAACGATGCCGGTGTGCTCCTCAATCATTTTGGCATAACTTGATTGTGGCTGTAATTTTTTTTTTGTCAAGCATGTCAGACAATAAAGTCTTTGTAAAAAGAAAGAGAAGTCCGTGGGGCACCTTCTCCTTGTGTGTCTCCGGGGGTCGCGTGGGGCGTGCCAGAAGAGCATGTCCACAGAATGCTGAGTCCTGGGCAGAGTTTGGAGGCTAACGATGGTCCCTGTGGCAGCAGCTGGCATCCCTCTGCTGCTGAAAGCTTCCTTGGTGTGGAAGGACCTCAGGGGTGGTGTCATGGGCAGATCTAGGCCCTCTTGGGCTCACATATGCTGACTACTTGTTCTCCCGGAGTGCCCCAAGATGGTCCCTAGCTCTGCACTCTTCCTGGAAGTGACATGTTCAACCCAGCCCTTGTCAAACAGAGGAGCGAGGCATTGCCCAGGGAAAGTGCCGGGGGCTATAACAACTCTGGTCTCAACCCCCTGGCTGGTGGCAGTCCTGCCATTTCCATTCAACCTGGTCACCTAGCTGTGTGTCCGCCATCCATTTGGTCACTCAGCTGTGTATCCTTCCTTCCATGCTTCCCCACCCACACCTACCCAGTCCATAAACATTCCAAGTGCCTCCCATGGGCCTGACGTGCACTAGAGATGGGCACTCATGGGGGTGACAGGTGGAGGCAGGACTGGAGGGAGAGTGGAAGATGACACGGACACCGGCTGAGGTCACAGAGGGCGAGTGTGAGGGCAGGAAGAGCAGGCCTGAGGTGGGACTGTGGGCTGGAGCTGGCTTTGGGATGCCCGGGAGTCATCCAGTGGCCCAGTGGCTAAAGGGGCCTGAAGCAGGAGGGGCCTCTCTGTAGAGGAATGTGGATCATGAGCAAAGCCAGGGGGGAGGGGGCTTGGGGAGGCCCTGGGGGGGGCAGGGGGGCAGGGGATGAGACTGCACACCACCCAGTAATGCTGTCTCTCGGTGGGCACCAAGCAGAGCTCTCTACCTCTGCCTATGGGTTACAGGATTCCCCAAGCAGGAGACCCCAGAGTGGGCCTCAGGAGTATGGGGGCCATGTGAAAGAGGACAGACAGCGTCCAGGAGGAGGTACTGATGAGAGCTAGGGTGAGAAAGCAGAGATACTGCTAGGGATGCCTGGTGCTGTCCGTTGGGGGAGCTTGTGCAGCCACGTTCAGGCCACTAATGCTGGCCTGGGCCATCACCCACCGCCTGGGGCAAGTCCTGCAGCTGTGAGGCTGGGTAAGGTCACTTCTGGTGGCTTAGTTTCCTAAATGACCATGTGCGTACCATGCTCACCAGACATCGGAACTTCCCTGTCCCTTGGCCTGACTCCCAGGCTGGCATTCTCCAGCCCTCACAGGGCCTCCTTGTCCCAGAGAATCTTCTCTCCAGGGAACATCTGTGGCCCATGTGCCAGGTCCCCCAAAAAGATAACAAGCGTGGTCTTCCTGTTTCTATAGCTGAGGACACTGTTTATGACCTGCAGGAAGCTGCATGGAGGAAGTGCGAGGCACTGCGTGGCTCTGCTGATGCCCCTGTTCAGGGCCTAAGCTTGGAGTGCAGCAGTGTCCCTCCTGGTGGCCGGGCTGTTGTGGGTGCTGGTTTGTCGGCCTCCCACAGAGAGAACCAAGCGTGCACGGCTGCTGCAGGCCTCTGTGGGAGGCTATTATGTAAGCGCTATGTCGGCAAAGTCCTCAGTCATCCAACTTGGTTAACAGCACATCTGCACAGCTATAATGAGTCTAGACACCCCTATTTAGACTGATTACAGCAGTGGTTCTCAACCTTCCTAATGCTGCCATGTATTTTCATTGTTACAAAGGGGTCGCGACCCACAAGTTGAGAACCACTAGATTACAGGGAAAAATAAGACAACCAGACAAGGCACCCTCACCCTCAACCACAACTTGGAGATCAGGAACCACGGGCAGAGCAGAGCCAGGCACTGCGGTGGTAGGCTGGGCTGACTGGAGGAAGCCCCAGGCCAGCTGGGGGCCCCTTTTGGCTCAGAGCTGCCATTGTAGCCACCCATAAGCCTATCCTGCTCAGTGTGGGGGTCAGTCTGAAGTGAGGAGGGACATGAGGGGACATGGAACCAAAGGTGACCCAGCAAAACTTTGTCCTGGAAGCAGAGGGGCTGTGCTGAGTATGGGAGCTGAACAGGGTCCTCTCTCCCACTGGGCCGGCAGTGCCGGCTCACAGGGAGAGCTCTATTCAAGTCGCTGTGTGGCCTACTTTGGGCCCTGTGCAGGGTGGGGGGAAGGGCGTTTGGTTGGTGAGGCTGGGGGGCCTCTTTCCACCCCACTCCCTGACAGCCATGGCCACACATCGCAGGCCAGAGTGCCTGCCTGCAGCTCCCAGCTCCTCGGAGAACCTACCAGAAGGCAGGAACTCATGTGAGTCTCCCTCTCAGCAGCATAGTAGGTGGAAGGAGAACGGCAGGTGTCAGGCTTCTCTGAGCTTGTCAAGCCTGTCATTTCCTGTCACAATGGTCACCAGAGGTGGTTCCAGTCGGCTGCTTGCTCCAAGGCACCTCAGGAGGCCTCAGGAAGGCTGAGCCCTGAGGCGCTGACTGGGCCCGGCTTGGGTGTGAGCTGTTCCTTGGTGAAGCGAGGCTGGCTGGTCCCTGAGCGGGGACAGGGGAGGTCAGTGCCCACGGTATGGCGCAGACAGGGCAATCGGGGTAGTGCAGCGTGGGTACAGATGTCCTGTGACCAGGACACAGGAAGCAGACGGTAAGGGAGGCCACAGCCCTCAGAAAATGGTGTGCAGGGCAGGCAGGCATGGACACGACCTCCAGAAATTCCAGGTTTAAGAGTATTTTTCATTAGTAGTTCTTTTAAAGTCTCAAGAGTTACTCTTGCAAAGGCTATTTTATTTGTTCAAACTAAGGTATGAGGGTGCCTGAGGCCCTGAAGGGCAGCCTGCAGCGCCTGGGGCAGCCGGGACAGGCCCAGGCCAGGCTCAGCTTTGGGTTTGTTTCCAGAGACATTTGGAATATTTGTTCAACCCCTCATTTATATGATTTGATTAGTCTTGTAAACAGCCCTGTGGCCCGTCCGTCGGGGAGCCCACAGGAGCCTACTGGAGGAAGGCCCGGAGGAAGTCATTGTAGGAGATCTTGGAAGACAGCGTCTTGTCGTAGTGCTCCAGGATGTGGAAGAACTCCTCCTCCGAGAGGTTGATGCTGTACTGCCTCAGGACCTGGGGGGCAGGGAAGGGGCCACAGAGGCTCGTCTCGCCTGGATGTAATGAGGCGGGCTGCCCGCAGGGGGTTGGGGGTCACGTTCCCCCTCTCCTCAAGCCTGTATGGCCCACCTCCCATGTCACCTTCCATTGTCCCCCTCCCACTAGCGTTCTCCCTTTGTCCCTCTATCTCTCTGTCTCTATCTCTGTCTGCTCTGCCTTGGCAACCTGTGCCTGGGTGGGAAGCAGCCACCTAGGGCAGCTTCATCACCAGCTGAGTGTGGAACAAGAAGGGACAGGAGGTTGTTAGTTTTGTGTCCCCAAAGGGTGGCTGAGGCTGGTCAACATGTTTAGTTGGGTGGATAGAGCAGAGGGGTTTGGAGGGGAGACCTGGCCACAGGCCTCGACATGGGGGAGGCTGAGGAGGGCAGGGCCAGCAGGTGCAGGGATGCAGAGTGGCTATGATGGGACAGCCATATGACTTGCAGCAGAGCTGCAGTGGCACCCAGTAGAGGCCGCTCCTTCCTCCTCCTCCTCCCAGAACCCCGGTGTTATCACAGCTGCTCTGTGTCAGGCCAACAACATTTCTTGGCCTCGCTTGACACTGAGTATATTCTGGCCAGTGAAACCTAAGTGAGAAGGTTATGTGGAACTTCCGAAAGCTTCCCTTAAAACAGGGGTTCTCAACCTGTGGATTGCGACCCACAGGAACTGTATTAAAGGGCCAGGGCTTAGGAAAGTTGAGAATCACTGCTCTAAAAGCATGCCCTTTTTCTCTCTGCTGCCTGGAATGTGGATATGATGCTGGGGCTCCAGCAGCCACCTTGGACCACAAGGTGACCCTGAGGAAGAAAGATGGAGTCAAGGGGAGTGGAACAAAAATGTGGTCCCCAACAATTATTCAGCCAGCACCCCAGCTCCAGGCCGCCCATCTCTAGACGTCTTTTATGTGGGGAAGAAACACATGTCCCCTGTTTGCCTAAGCTGCTGTTATTTTCCCCTCTTAAATGCAGAGCAAACATATCCCAACAGATAGACTTGAGTAAAAAATAAAAATTAGGTCTGAATTTCCTTTCTACCTTTTGTGTTATAACCACTTTCTAAGAGGAGACTAGTAAGTGGGGCTAGAAGGCTGCAGCCACTGGGCCCAGCAGGAGAGAAGCAGGAAAAGAAGCCAGGCTGTCCTGGAGGGGACAGTTCCTCCCCTGATAGGACGCTGTCTCCATTCTAGTGAGGGTATCGGAGGAAAATAATGCACTTCCTTCCCTTCTTTGCACAGAGAAAAAAGAGAATCGTTGGTTGAGATTTATACTTGACCCCAAAGTAAAGAAGTGTGAACATGAATGTGAGCTGGAGAACCATGCAGGGCATTTGTGAGGTCATGGGATGGGGTGCTGAGGGGCAGGGACACACGTATTTACCACCCAGTGATGCGTGTATTTACACTAGGACAGATGACTAATGGTGGAGCCCAGTGTGTGCCATAGGGGCTGTGCTGCCTCCTTGGGAGGCATCATGGGTCAGAGATGGTCCTCTGAGTCTGCAGTGAGGCTCTGGGGGGAGCACCTGGCTGTGGGGCTCAGGGCAGGCCCAGGCCCAGCTAGGGTGCCAAGCAGCAGCTGGTGCCTAGAGGAAAGCTGGGCTCAGGAATTGGCCTGGGGAGCTGCCCATGTAGGTATGGAGCATCCCATGGCCTCTAGAAAACTCTAGAAGGAGGACCTGGGGGCTGCAGGTGAGGGGCATGTGGGCTCAGCCCTTGGTAACTTGGGCCTGTAGGTGAGGCCTGAGACAGCCAGAGGACATCGAGCCTTTGACAAGGGACTGGACAGGCGCCCTTCTGAGCTTGTCTGGCCACTGGCGTTTGGCAACTGTGCTCTGCTCAGAGGCCCCGATGTGCAGGGCTGTGCTCACCCTCCTGAAGTCAGCCACGTTCAGAAGCCCTGTCCCGGCCTCATCGTAGGTCTTGAACGTGCGCCGCATCGGCCTCCAGCAGTGCATGATTTTGGGCTGAATACGGAGCAGCGCGGAATAAAAGGAAGATGTCTCAGCACCAGCTTCTTTCTATAAAAACAAAACAAAGACAAGAAGGGGTGAGAAAGAAGCTTTCTGAATGGGGAGGATGGGTGGGCTCTAGGGGAGCGGAGAGCCAGCTGTTGGGTGGTGGGCCTCCTCTGTCCCCCCTCTGCCCCACTCTCCGCTGGCTCTCTGTCTAGCACGGGGCCTGTAAGCAGAACTACTTTTTTGTTTATTTTTGAGGCATGGTCTCAGTCTAGCAATCCAGACAGAGTGCTGTGGTGTCATCATAGCTCCTGGCAACTTCAAACTCCTGGCTCAAGTAATCCTCCTGCCTCAGCCTCCTGAGTAGCTAGAACTACAGGCACCCACCACAACACCTGGCCAGATTTTCTATTTTTAGCAGAAATGAGGGCTCCCTCTTGCTCAGGATAGTCTCAAACTCCTGAGCTTCAGCAATCCTCCCACCTCTGCCTCCCAGAGTACTAGGATTACAGATACAAGCTACTATGCCCGGCCTAGAACTCTTAACAGTGATGCCGTCACTGCTTCTCTCACCATTACGAGTTGATATGCAAGCTGTTTAAGTCACCAGCCCATTTCTATCTCCAGTCCCCTCCTCTGGCAACCTGGAAGGAAGGCAGGTCTCCAGTCCCCATCTCACAGATTGGGAAACAAGAAGCTTAGCCCAGAAAGTGACCTGGCCTCTGACCCCAACATGCCTCAGGCCTCACCACCTCCCTGAGAATGCAAGGAGAAGGCTGGGCACATACTCAATTTCTGTCGTTTGAGGGAAAAAAGAGATTTCAGTCTAGGTCTTCTGGTAGGTTATTATAATGAAGTGTTAAAAAAAATCACAAGGTTGTAATTATATCTAGTAATTAGACAGTACAGTACACTGTGATTATTTCATTTAGGTGCTATTAGATTGAAAACAAGATCTTTTAGCATGATTTAGCCCTAACACGTTGGAATATCACAGAGGTGAATTGTAGGCGATAATGTGTAACACACTTTGGGAAAGTTTAATTTTAACATGGCACTACATAAAACAAATTAGCACAGAGCTGAGCTGCTTTCATTTTTTACATCATTTAGCACCTATGACGGAAACTCCCCAGGTGGCCCCACTCTGTTAGCTGCCAATCTGCCCCAGCAGCTGATCCACACACCGGGGAGGCGGTGCCAGTCTCCCTCTCCCTCCCACAACCAGGGTTGCCCCACAGGGTAGGGCAACAGTGGTGCCTGAGCTGGCTTCCCCAAAGGGTGTCTTTTTGCTGCTGAAGGTTACAGAGAAAGCCCTCAAATAGGTAGAAAATGAAACCACCCTTTCAGCTTCTCTGCACGGGACATGTGACCTAGATGCCACCTTTGTGTTGGGAGCTGCTGGAGAGGGCATGACCAAGACCTCTCAGGGACCCTACTCCCTCCTGGGAAAGCATCAGTCAGAGCAGGGATCCCAGGAGGAAGGGCAGTATGAACTAGTCTGAACCCCAGAGTGGCTCCTACAGTGGGGACAGGGGCCCGCAGCTCCCTCAGTTCACATAAACACAACCTTAGTCTGACACAGAGCAGCCGGTGGCCGCCGCCCCTGCAGTCACACGCAGGATGGAGGGTGGGGCTGGGAGCAGGTGTGGCCTCTGCCCTGGGAGGCCTAGCTATGTGTTCTTCCCAGGAGAAGCCCACCAGCCACCCCTCAGAGGCCCTTAGAGTCCAACGGACCTTCCTCTTGTTTCCAGAAGGGAAAACGGAGGCCCAAATGGGAGTAGGAGGCCAGAGCTAGCAGGGGCCTTGTAGGCCATGCCATCTTCACGCTCCTCCAGCTGTGTTTCTGGGCCCAATGAAGATCTAACAAGCACAGCCTTTTTTCTGTTCACAGAAGAACTGAGCTAGCAGAAACGCCTTAATTTTACCATCCCCCCCCCCCCAATAAACTTAGCCTAAGCCTTTGATGCTAGTGGCTGCTTGTCGAAACTAGAACCTACATGAAGATGGCCCCTACGTTTGCACAGAAGGAGAAACGCGGCAGGGAGCTTTCTGCCTGGCCCTATTCACCTGCTCTGGACTAAACACTCTCACCCTACTTCCTCCAACACCTGCCTGCTGCCCAGGCAGGGTGAGGTGGGCAGGATAAGGCAGGTAGCCGCTGTCTGGGGTCTGCCTTGCCTTTTGGTCCCTCCAGCTGAGTCAAAGGTGGTTGGAATCAGCTGTATTTGTTTCCCAGATCAGCAATGCCAATTGTACTTATTTAATTCAACAATAACTTAGTCCAACGTTTCAGATGGAATCAGAGCATTAGAATAACATCTTTTGGCTGCATGTTTTGGAAAGGTTGGAGCGAGGTGGGTCAGTAAAAACCCTGTGATTGCACCGAGTGGGGGTTTCAACTATGAAATTGCAAATGAAAGGTAAAAATGCAGAATTGTGCCTTCTGGTTGCTCTTTTAAGTGTCTGTAAGTTCCTCTTTGAAGAAACAGAAAAAGAAAATTATGGACAATGCATCTATGTGTCTTATGGAATTTACGTGAGAAACATAACAGGAGACTCCAACCTCCTGCCCCACAATCAGAGAAGAGGGTCTGGTCTGAATCCAGCGGCTGATGATCCCATCCCCACCCCTGCCCTGCCTTTCAGGTGACTGACTGGTCACTGCTCCCAGGGTGGCTAGATTGCTAGTCACAGGGACACTCTGGGAAGAGCCATGATAACCAACTGTCTACCCTCTGAATGAGTTGGGGAATGTAGGGTCCATGCTACTGGTTCCATGTGGGGTCTCCAGACCCTTCTAGGGTTCCAGAAGGAGAGAAAGGAAATCTTTGAGTTCCTTCCAAGAAAGTAAATTTCTAAGCTGTTTTTGGTATCCCCAAAGCCTGGTGGAGGCCTTATCTTTACTCACAGCCCTTGCCTGCCAGGTGTGAACCCCCTGACATAGGGTGTGGGCCTGGGCTCCCAATAGCCCATGGTTCTGTTAGGCTGGCCTGACAACAGCCTGGCACTGTACAGGCCTCCAAATCTGCAGTTCCCAGGCTGGACAGTGGACTAGTAGTGGACAGGTCTGTGGCCTGTTAGGCACCAGTCTGCACAGCAGGTGAGCAGAGCTTCCCCTGTGTTTACAACTGCTCCCCACCCCTCGCACCAGTGCCTGAGCTCCACCTCCTGTTGGATCAGCAGTGGCTTTAGATTCTCATAGGAGCGCGGACCCTACTGCAACCTGCACACACGAGGCAGTAATGACTGGGCTGGGGAGCGGCTGCAAACACAGATCATCAGCAGCAGGGATCAGTTGCTTACAGACTCATATCAAAACCCCCATCCATGGAAAAACTGTCTTCCGGGAAAGGTTGGGGGCCACTGATCTAAGTGATGGAGGGGTGGGATGACAAAACCCTGCCTGACAAGTATCATACGTGTATAGAAAACCTCCAAACAAAGTCTTTGGGGATGTCTGACAGAGGGGTCCTGGCTGGGGCAGAGCTGGGCTGGGTGCTGGCCAGCCGGCCTCTCTGGAGTCTGAGTCCCCTGAGTCCACCTTCCATGAGCCCCTTTAAGCCCCACCCTCTGCGTACCATTTTGTTTGCGTTCTGGATTTTCAGCCTCTGCAGCAGGGAGGTTTCCTTGGTTTTTAACATGAGGACGCAGCTCTGGATGAAGTCAGGGTACGCAAACTTTCCGTTGTTCCTCAGGTCATACTTCACCATGAGCTGGTGACACTCTTCTTTGCTTATGTCCAGGCTGAACTTCTCCACAAAAGCTAAAGACAAAAGTGGCAGTTCAAATGGTGGGTTCGTTCATTCCTTCCTTCATTCATTCCACACTTGCTGAGCCTCCTCGGCTGCTTTAGGCCCTGGCGTGGTCCTTGCTTCACAGAACGCACAGCTGGGGGTGGACATATATGGAAACAGGACCCAGGGAGGGGGACCTGAGTCCTGCTGCCCACATCCTCCTGGGTTTGGGTAGTTACTAGAGCTGTGGTCACAGCGTATGGACAGAGACTGTGGGAGCAACAGGTAGAGAGCAGAGAGGGAGGCAAGGCAGCAGGGGAGGGTCCACGCGCCAGGTGTGGGCCTGGCTGTGGAGAGCATCAAACTTGGCCTCGACCATGTATTTTTTAACTGGGCTCCAGATACATGCTCTTGAGAGTCTGTTTAGTTACATAAATTTATACGCTTTGAGCTTTCATTCCAAAGACAACAATTGATGATGTATCAGTTTACACAGTATACTCTGGATGCATGGACCACCCCTAAGAGATAGCCACCATGTGATCTTGGGGTTTGGGCCTGGCTCTCTGAATGGGGTTATGTTGAACCACAGTGGGCATCTTCCTGGCTGCCATGAAAATGACACTTTTTTTTTTTTTTTGATACAGAATCTCTGCCACCCTGCGTAGAGTGCTGTGACATCATAGATCACAGTGACCTCAGACTTTTGGGCTCAAGCGGTCCTCTTGCCTCAGCCTCCCAAGTAGCTGGGACCATAGGTGCCTGCCATAGTACCTGGCTATTTTTAGAGACAGGATCTTGCTCTTGCTTAGGTTGGTCTCGAACCCTGAGCTCAAGCAATCCACCTGCCTGGGCCTCCCAGAGTGCTAGGATTACAGGTGTGAGCCACCACACCTAGCCCTAAGGCTGGCACATCTTAACATTGAAATAGCAATGTTCGCCTGTGCTCTGCACTGGCACTCATGCTGAGTTCTCTTGTTGGTTTATAAAGACAACACTTCTTTTAGAGTGATAACTCATAATTGAAAGAGACTTATATAGGATGAAATATTTGTTTTAATTTACTAAACTGAGACTTTGATTTGACGTCGTGGAAGAACAAAGCATGAAGGAGCGGAATGCGGTGTTAGTTGTTGAGGTTAAGCAGGAAACTAGAGGAAGCAGACTTCCCACAAAGGCCGCTGCAAGTCCAGCCAAGGCCAGGAGCGGCGCTGCATGGCTCGTGAGTGGAGTTGGCTTTGCCCTTCCACGGAGGGGACAGCAGCAGACCCTGGGGCCCACCAGGGCACAGCACAGCGGGAGGTCTGGGAGCCCACAGGAAACTGTCCTACCTCCAACGTCCTACCTACCTGAATTATAGAGGCCATCAGTGTCAATTAGAAAATACAGAATGACTTTTGAAGATGAATCCGTTTTATTTTACGGTATTGAATTTTGATGCACTACTGAAGTCTGTCAAGCTTATCAGAATCATAGGCTGGTGGCTTAAATGAGTTCATGGTTAAAAGTAAAATAGTAACAACAGTAAGGATGATATCACAAGTTAAGGTTTATCAGGGTCAAACTCCAAAGAACTAACTAAAAAATCAAGTGGAACGCAAATGTCTATCACAACCAACACGGTGTTCTGCTTTCAGCACGCGTCACATTAAATGGCCTAACATTTGATTATTACCAATTTCTTATTTTTCATATTTAATGTACACTTTTTTTTAACAGGAACTAACTTAGAGAGTTTATACCTTGTTTTACTTGTATATTTTAGCCATGGTTATCATAAAAGTAGCTCATATTAATGTTGGAGGTTCTCAAGGAAAATATATTTCTTTAAAAGTTATCTGTATGTGGCTGGGCACAGTGGCTCACATCTGTAATTCCAGTACTCTGGGAGTTTGAGGCAGGTGGATTGTTTGAGCTCAGGAGTTAGAAACCAGCCAGAGCAAGAGCAAGATCCTGTCTCTAAAAATAGAAAAACTAGCTGGGGGTTGTGGCAGGTGCCTGTAGTCCCAGCTACTTGGGAGGCTGAGGCAAGAGAATCACTTGAGCCCAAGAGTCTGAGGTTGCTGTGAGCTATGATGTCCCAGCATTCTCTGCAGGGTGAGATGCCCACCGATTGATACAAATAGAGAGATATTTTTGCAAATCATAGACCTGATAAAGATTTAATATGTAGATTATACATATGTAGAATTCCTACAATTTACCACCAAACAAATCCCAAACAACCAACTCAATTAAAAAATGGGCAAAGGCCGGGTACAGCGGCTGACCTATAATCCTAGCATTCTGGGAGGCTGAGGTGGGTGGATGGATCCTTTGAGTTCAGTAATTGGAGACCAGCCTGAGCAAGAGCAAGACCATCATCTCTACTAAAAGTGGAAAAATTAGCCAAACTAGGCTAATTAGGTGGGTGCCTAAGTCCCAGCTACTTAGGAGGCTGAGGTAAGAGGATGACTTGAGCCAAGGAGTTTGACGTTGCTGTGAGCTATGATGCCATAGCACTCTACCCAGGGTGACAGAGTGAGACTCTGTCTTAGAAATAAAGGCATCTGTGTATTAGTCAGGAAGAGGAGGGCCTAAGAAGCAGAGGAATGACACGGTCAGACATATTTTCCTGTAATGAAAATGTTACATCAACAGCATGAAACAAAAGTACAACTCAACTAGTTTAATTTTTTAAGTTGATCAAACTGATAGATGTTGAAAAACTGACAGCAGGGAGTAGATGTTGCCAGCAGTGGAGCCCCAGGATCACAAGGTGGGGGGGCAGAGTGTCCCCACCACCCGCCTCCACTGCCTCTCCACTCCTCTGCTGTCAGAGCCTGTGAACATTTGTACTGCACACAGCACAGCCAGGTCTGTGGTCTCTAATGCTCAAGGCAGTGCCGTGTGGATTTTATCATGCAGATGTGTACCTGCTTGGTGGCTGTGGGCAGGAGGTGGATTAGGAGACTTCTGCGCTGCCCGCACCTTGACCCAGAAGCGCCCAGCTGGTGTCTGGCTCTATACCACCCCCTCACCTCCACCACAGGGTATGGGTCTGTGCCCAGTGGGAAGGGCCTCTGGGCGCAGAGCGCGACCGCACATTATCACTGGGACAGAACAGACACGAACCCAGGAACTCTGCTGCGGTGATCTCCCCGTGTTTGTTCGGGTCCTTCTCTTTGCATTCCTTCAGGAGCTGCCGCCAGCAGCCCTGGATTCTCCTCCTGAGCTTGCTCTCTATGGGCTCACAGTTCTGCAAGGGGAGAGCGCTCGGGGACGCCATCGAACTCGCTGGAGTCTAGTGGGAAGGAGAAGAAAATTGGCTTTTAACTGGAGATTTAAAATGGAAACTCACAGATAGGATTCAGGTTTTGAGGCTCACAATTTTATAGGCAGTATTAGCCCAGAAATGAAATGAAAAATAAAACATAGATAGTAATTTTACCATCTAATGTTTACTTCCATCAGTGGGCTGTATGTATTTGTGCCAAACCATAATAACCAAAATAGTTTTGAAAATGAGTATATAGCCAAAGTTCAGACATACAGAGATGCACTTAAATGTGTCACTGGTGTGTGTGTGTATATATAAGTGACAATGGTATATTTTTCACTAGAAGAAGAGTTTTATCAAAGAAAGGAATTTACCTGTCATTTGCATAAAGCAAAGACAAAGCATGAATATCAGTTATTTTGAAATTATGTGGAGCAAGAATGAGGCTGTTCTTTGCTTTATTATATCTTCCATTTCAAGCTAGAGAGTGAATTTAATGTCACCTAGACTGTCCCCCCATGGCCTTCTCCATACCTGGTCATTGAACCCAGTAATTTATCCAACTCAGTTGGACTCCAGGTCTTTCTTCCAAACCCTGAGCCTTCTGCTGCGAGGTTGGTAACTATACCCTTCTTTCAGTTGCTCAGAGGCCTCCCTGAGTCTCCCCTCTCCCTCTTACCCCACATCAAGTCCATCAGGGCCCACGGCGCTGTCTTGAGGACACAGCCAGAGTCTGACCTCTGTGCACCAGCTCCCCACCCCCAACTTTGCTCCTGGCTACCATGGATGGCCTCTGCCAGACCTCACTGCCTCCTTGCATCACAGGCCATATCCCCTCAGCATCCAGATGTGTCTTTAAAGAGTCCCTCAGGTCATGTCACTCCACTGCCCCTTTGAGTAGGTGCCAAAGTTCTCACAGTGGCTGTCTAGGCCTGTGTGCATGTCCTGGGGCTGCTGTAACAGTCACCACAAACTCAGTGGCTTACAACCACACAGCTCTGATATCTGACAGCTCTGGAGGTCAGAAGCCTGACCTGAGCCTCACGGGTGTCCGGGGCCTATAGGGCAGAGTCCATCTCTCTGCCTTTCCAGTAGAGAGGCTTCCATACTCCTGGCTTGTGGTCCCCTCCTCCCTCTTCAAAGCTGGTAAGGTGGGGTGGAGTCTCTCTAACACTGACCTGTCTGCCTTCAGATCCCCATTTACAAACCTTTGTGATCACTCAAAGCCTACCTGGTACTCAGGATACCCTCCCTGTCCCCAGGCCCATTGACAGGCAGCCTTGATTCCATCTGCTGCCTTTGGAAGGCAGCGCACTCACAGTTCCACGGGCACCCACACCTCTGGGCAGCTCTTGCCCCCTCATTCTGCTCTGCGTACCACTTATCTACTCCTAGGGAGCAGGGCCTTCATCCATGCCCAGCGCAGTGCAGGTCTGCTGTGAGTATGTGTGGAATGAGCAGGGCCCCAGGAGGCCGCCTCTGGGTGTCACCATGCTCTACACACAATGAGGCTGGCACTATGAGCCCAAGTGGTGGGCTCAACACACTGCCCAGAAGGCACTGTCACCCCTCCTCACAGACAAGGGCTCAGTTAGACAGGCCTGGGCTTGAAATTGCTCTCTCCATGTTCACCTGAGGAACAAGAGCACATGAGGAGGCGTGGCTCAGAGCCTCACTGCCTTCTACCGTGAGGCGGGGGCGATGACACTTACCTCTGGGGTGTGGCCGTGCTGTGTGGGGCACTTGCTCTCCCACCCAAAGATGCCAGGAGGAGTCCTGTGGATATTCACCTTCCGTCCTGCCTCCCTTTCACCTCATACCCTCTTTCCTCCTCTCTCACCTCCTGCCACTGACCCCCACAGTGCATCCCAGGACAGCAGATGCTCCAGTCCAGTGTCCCCACCCCAGGCTCACCTGGGGGCCAGCTTCTCAGTCACTTGACCTCTGGCTGGGGAACACTGGGCCCCCCAGCTTCCCCTCCCCCCCATCCAGTGGGACTTGTGGGTTTGGCATGAGGCGCATGCACCCTTGGAGGGAGGGAGAACTCACACAGGGGTGACTCCGGGACTTGAGCCCCACTCTCAGGTCCTGAGGAGCTGCGGCTGACATGGCAGATCTGGCCCTCTCAGACAGTTCTGGAACACTGCTCCCTCTCTGGGCCTCTGAGGAGTCGCCAGCGGCTGGTGGCGTTGCTGGCCTCTCGGAGCTGAACCTGCACAGGAAGTCCAGGCAGCGCAGCCTGCCCTTGGTGTTGACTGGCATCTCGTTCCAGAGCCTGTTGAACTGCGGAGAAGCAGAGTCAGTTCCCTGTCAGTGCACGCCCAGGGGGAAGCCGCCTGTGCTTTTGAGAAGTGGCTGCGGAGGGCGGGAGGGCACTCACAGGGGCTGGCCAGGTCCAGGCCACGTCAAGAAAGAAATTAAAAAAGACAAAAGCCCGTTTGGCCTCCACTTGGTGGAAGTCTCCAGAAGCTGCAAAAGCAAAGACAGGATTATTCATGGCGTCTGCAGGACATTTTTTAATTGAATTGGGCCTTCAGTGAGCACTTTAAGGCCATTAAATCTTATGATTAGTCACAGTGCCTGAGCCGCAGTGTATATGAACATTTGGGAGAAAATGAAATCAAAGCCCGGGCGCACCTTCGTCCCAGGGAGGCCCAGTCACGCTCATTCCTCATCCTTGCAGGCACACCTGACTTCTGTGACAGCTCACCAGGTTACTGGCCCTTAGCCACTGAATGTGCATCCACAATTTATTTTACCCTAAGGGCAAAGAATGTCTTCCCACAAGATGAAAAGGGAGGCATTGGGAAAACTGGGGAGAAGTTTATGGCTTTGCATTGTTGTGGTCTGACATCACAGACTGTAGCAAAACCACAGGCCCTGCTCAGATAGAACAAAATGACTCAATTCATCCTAAATGAGCCACTTCTGATGACTGGAGGGCTTTCAGGGAGCCAAGAAGAATGGGGCTTACTTCCAATTTGATTTTATGGAAATCAAACCCCAGGGCGGCTGTAGCACCATTGGCTGGAGAGGCCTCCCGGGCTCCAGGGGTACAGGGAAGCTCAAATCCCATCCATCCCTCCCCTTCTCGCTTCTTCCCCTTGAAGCCTGGGCTTTGCCAGAAACTGAGTTTGCTTCTGGGACTCCACTGGGGTTTTCCAAAAGCAAATTAAAAGGGAACAGCTCAGGCTGTATTTGAATTCCCCGAAATGAAGTAGTGAGGGTTGTGGGAGAGAAGGAAATGTTCTAGGTCCCTAAAAGGCAAAAAGGTTTAGCCTGGGACAACACTCTCCATTTATTTATTTGCATTTTATTTAGAGATAATTATAAATTTGTAGGAAGCCACAAGGATAGTAAAGAGAGACACCCTTTATCCAGATTCCATTCAGGTTGCATCTTATGTATGTTACAACACCCAACCCAGGGATTGACTACGGCAGTGTGTGGGCAGCTTGTCATTTTATTACACAGGTAGATTCATGTTGATTTAACTTCGATCAAGAAGGAGAAACTAGGGGGAGGGCGGAGCAAGATTGCACACCAGAAGGATCGTTCAGCTGAGATCTCCTAGAGCAGTGGTTCTCAACCTTCCTAATGCTGCCACCCTTTAATACAGTTCCTCATGTTGTGGTGACCCCCAACCATAAAATTATTTTTGTTGCTACTTCATAGCTGTAATTTTGCTACTGTTATGAATCGTAATGTAAATATCTGATATGCAGTATGTATTTAAGCGACCCCTGTGAAAGGGTCATTCAACCCCCAAAGAGGTCGTGACCCACAAGTTGAGAACTGCTGTCTTAGAATGACTGGGGAAAAAGAGAGAACTCAGCCATACCTAGCACAGAGACCTGACCCAGAGTCATAGCTCAGGGGGCACAGGCAGGAGACGGTGAACTGGATACAGGTATGATCTGAAGCGGTGGCAATCTGATGAATTAGGCAAGTGATTGTGACTGGCTGGGATCAGCTGTCCCCCACAGAGGCCTGGGATGGGAGGAAGCCTTTCCACAGCTTTCAGTTGTTATAGGAAGCTGTGCATTGAGTGGAAAGCTTGGCAGAGTGGGGAGACTTGAACAGTATATAGCAACTAGATTTGAATGCCAGTTGAACTGTTGTCATAGGTTTGGTGGCTGGAGAAGCAGCCATACTGAGATGGTCTTGGTGGCCAGGGGGCTGCCATTGTGGGAAGGTCATGAGAAGGTCTTAGCAGGAGCCTAAAGCATGGCTGCCTTAATTCTGCCTACTAGGAGCAGAACTCCATTCTTGGGACAGGCTGAGGGACTCCCACATCCCACGGGAACTAGAGTGAGGGGGCACTGTGAGACCTGCCCACACCAGGCCCACACCAGGCCCACAGGCCTCTCTTCTAGCATCTCAGGTTAGGACATTCCTATCTCCAAGCCGCACCTCGAGTTTTCCAGTTTCCCTCCCCCTGCTTTGGGCCCTGGGTGCACTCAACCACCAGTTGGTTTTGCCCCACCCATCCTCCCACCCGAGCCCCCACTTCCCTCCTGAGCGAAGCTTTGATTCCACACAGCTACTTGTTCATTCTTGCTTGATCCTCACAGGCCCCTCCCTGCACCATGCTCACCAGCAGGGCTCCCATGGTAACCGGGGTTCCCGCCACCCTTCCCCGGTATGTGCCCTTCCCTGTTCTCCATGGTCACTACTCCAAGCCATTTCCTTTCCCTAAACACCCAGTGTGGCCCCTTCACTCTCAGCTGATAATCTCGCCTCATATTTCATAGAGATAACACCCATTACATCAAACTAACTGCCTCTGTGCCCCCACCCCATAGCTACAGGACGAAGGTCTCTGCTCCCATTTGAGGCCACCCCTCCTGCTGTCTCTGGGTATGTTCCCCTGTAGCCTGCTTGGGAAGTAAAGCCATCATGCCCACATGTCCTTGTAGCAGATGTAACTGCCAGCACCGTGGAAGGAGGGGATGAGCCACCAGTCAGCAATCAGCTTTCCTTGTATGTGGGCTTGGTGACAGAGGTGTTTGGTTCCACGTCTTGCCCCCTGAGCACCACAAACACTTAACTCCTCCGTGAGGCACGGGCAGTAGGTGTCTTTTGGAAGAGCCCCATGGTAGGGTTGGGTCTGTCCTAGCTGCTGTGGCTCCTGCCTGTGGGGCATCCTCTGTGGTCCCCCAGACCTACCAGAGTTTCTGTAAGATCCTAACACCCTTAAAAAATCCCTTTCTGCTTGAACTGGCCTGAGCTAAGAGTGCTGAACAATTCACAAAAGCAACAAATAAATCACAAATTTTAAAAAAAGATGCTCATGATCTTTTCTGGCCATACATAATACAGACAGAAACCAACTGCAAAAGATCCTATCTGGAAAATGAAAACTTCCCTTCTAAATGGCTTAGCAAGGTCTCAGGCATTACGGTGGTCTAGACATCCTTATAAGCCTTCATTCACAAAACACCCAGCTGCTGGATAAATAGTCTTGAAAAAATACTTTTAAGTTCAATGTGGAGCCTACAAGGAAGTATAGGAAAGATTAATGGCCAGGAAACATGCTGACCCCAATGGGAGGTGAGAGCTGAGCCAGGGGGGCGTCAGGGGACGGGCGGGGGGCGTCAGGGGACGGTCAGGAGCCGCAGGTCCTTGCACAGAGAGCTGTGTCACCTGCCGGGCCCATCTGACTGTGCTGCAGGCTGGACACAGGCCTTTCCTACAGTCTAGGGTCTGTGGGGGTCTGAATCCACTCCAGCCTCTCCAAGTGGAGGAGCTAGTGCAGCGCCAGGCTGTGGCATCCTCGGCACTCCAAGAAGGCAACGCAAATCATGGTGTTGAAAACCATCCTCAGTGCAGGCCCCTCAGGATTCCCCCAGATTAAGTTCAGCCAAATACAAACTCACAATGAAATGAAATAAATATCCCTGAATACACGAAGAGGCAAGTCACCATGAGTGTGAGTTGGCAAAAACAAGCTAAGCCAGATTTAGACTTCAGGTATCAGAATTATTTGTTGGGGGATATAACATGATCATATGGAAAACAGAGAAGTAAACATAGGCATAAAAATGAACAAAAAGCAATGTACAAAATAGCTAAAGGAGTAAACACGGGCCTTCAAAGACATCATCAAAATGGAGAGCTAGATTTTCAGTGATAGATAAATAGAACTCCTTGAAGTAAAAAATATAATCATTGAAGAAATTGTAGACAATCGCTGTATAGATTAAACAATAGATTAGATGCAGCCAGTGAGAGAATTGACAAACTTGAAGATAGACTGGAACAGTGGTTCTCAAACATTAGCACACCAGACTCACCTGGAGAGCTTCACACGCAGCTCGCTGGGCCCTACCTACAGAGCTTCAGACTCTGGAGAAGTGATTTGCAGAGTACAGACAAGACACCAGCCTGAAAGCAACATCAGTGAGAGCCAGAAGACAGTAGAATAATTTTTTTTTAAGGAATTGAGAGGAAATTTCTGTCAATTTAAACTTCTCTATTTCATGAAGAAAAAAAATGATCTCAGAAGAAACGTCTCCAATATAAAGAATACGGAAGATATCAAGTAAATACCAGCTATCTAAACTAGATCAGTCTAGGGGTTAGTTTGTAGAGAAAAAATAATATGATAGACAGATCTAAAATATTAAATAGAAATGACCTACAGGGAAAATCAGAGTTGCAGCAATTTAATATCCTTGTATGCCCAGAAAACACTGAAAATACTGCTGAACTTCCTACTCTGTTTTGTTACATATGATACAATTTCAAGGGCAATAGCTGTGTATTAGGTAAAAGAACAGAAATGGATATATAACTTCTAAAAAACATAGAAGGAAAAAGGAATTTTAAAAAGCTCACTTAATAGAAGATTATAAGGGTTTAAAAACAATAAAAAGAGATGAATATTGAATGGAAAGGACAATATTAGAGGACAGAGATAAATCCATATATATCAGTAATCACAATAAATGTAACCGGATCAAATATCCATATAAAAAAAAGAGATGATTAGCTTGGATTTTTAAAAATCCACTTACATGCTGCTTATAATACATACACACAAAATATAAATCACAGATGGGCCAAAGATTGTTTTTTTAAAGTTAGAAATAGATACACCAAGTACTAAATTTAAAAAAGCCGGGTAGTTATATTAATTAAGCCACAAACTATTTCTGGGAATAAATAAGGCTATTACATGATGATACAGAGTTCAATTCATTAGAAGGATATAATAGCTTTAAGTCTGTATATACTTAAAAAAATCTAACCTTGAACATACATACATATATATACACACA